TCACCAGCTCGGATAGATTACAAAATATTTTCTTTAACCGTCTGTGTGAATTAGATTTATTTGGATGGTAAAGCAATATTCCATCTGGAATTCTTATCTTGTTATGGTTCACTCTTCATCACTTGACGAGGATGATGAAACCTTTTGTAAATTAATAATCCATCTAAATTCTCAAATTTAATATCCAGTATCACAGTTTCTAACATCACAAATAACAATAATCTCCAGAACGTTAGTTTTGAAGACATGTTTTCAGTTGGTTGTCTAATGCTTAATCTATGAAAAGAATTGATGTAAACGATACGATTCGAAGTTGAATTCGGGGGTTTATATGTGATGTTTACGAAATCCATGCAAATTGTTAGTTATAGCAAATTCCTTTTGATATCCTTTTTCTTTTTGTAAGTTATAGCAAATTTACCTAACCACTTGTTTTGGAACCCATTTATTAATTGGTGTACAATTCAGGACATGTGAATCAGTTAACTTAACTTAGCAATATTGAATTTATTTCTTGCCTTATGTGGTCCGGTCCCTACCCTTCTTAAATTCGCCAGTGTTTTTTGTGCCTAAAACGTTTTTAAAGGGGTTTTAACAATATGTTTAGTCGCTAATCTAAATTAATCTACCACCATTTAACTAATCAGGCAAAGAAAATTCAGAGTTTGACTTGTTGTTTAAATTTATTGAGTTAGTAGGCCTACACCTATTTGTAATTATTCGATGTAATTGATTTTTAGATTCGATTTGTTATATTACCTACGTTGTGCAAGACTTTGAACAGATCATCGATTAACGAAACATTCTGACGTGTTTATTTACAATTTTTAAACGCTGATATCGTAAAATAAACTATCAATTTAAGTTTAAAAAATACATATTGTACTTAAAATTCAAGTGAGGTAGGTTAATGTTATTTCCATGAGTTATGTCAGTTTTTTATATTGGTAAATGTAACTATTATACTTTTCTATGTAATTTTATGTAATAGAATTTTTTTCGAGATAGAAATTTCAAAATTTGTATAAATGTGTATTTTTGAAGATAAATAAAAAAACTTGTCTTTCCAATATCTCAGGCCATTTTAATATGGCGGTCATTTAAAATATTTAATGCCCAATTTCATGAGAACCGTAAATATTAAGAAAATAAAATTACGGTCAAACAGGTAAAGAATTAAAATCCAAATCAAGTTAGACCTTGTTTGATTTGGATTTAAATTCTCTACATTTTTATTTTTGATCGCAAAAACAATGTTCTTTATAATTACTGTTTTCGTTCAATTTGACATTAAATATTTAAAATTACCGCCATATTTTGCAAAAATTTCCAATATGGCTTGAAATATAGCAACGAGATTTTTTAAATCTTTTTGCTAAAGACATTTTAGACCCATACTTATATGGAATTTTATCTTTAGCCAAAGGAATGAGTCTACGTAATATGCCCGGACAATTTGGAAACATCCTGTTTAATACCTTACCCACTAAGTTTAAAATGCCCTATAAATATAGTGAAAATGCCAATTAAATTTTATACCTCAAACCGTTATTTTCCTTTGTTAACGACGCGCTGCGCAACAATTTGGATATACTCATTTTTACAACGATAATTGAATCACTCCAAATCAAGTACAGCAACTTATTGTTAATCTATACCGCGGGAGTTTTACTGTACCAAAAATAAGCTTTGGGCACAAAGTAATGCGTAAAACAAGATGGAGGATTGTGTTGATCGTTGTTATCATTTGTCAGACGCAGTCGAAGACAAAAGATGGGAAATGACGCGAGAGCCTAATGAATGTGAGGTGTTGATGTTGAAACGAGAATAATTCTCGCTTGCGACATTTCTTCAACTGGATTTTGATACTGACAGATACTTCGAGTTTACTAATTGTTAGTGAAAACTACATACCTTCGACTAAAGTTTGATACTGAGTCTTGGGTTCACTAGTGTTTAATTTTGTCAAGGTGACAACCAGTAGTTCTGGATGCTGAGTCTTCTTATGTAGGTTCACTATTTTTGGATTTGGATTTTTTTAAACCGAGTCTTATTCTCGAATTCTTAGCAGCAACATTATTTCAATTAGTAGTAAGGAATTGCTCACTTGTCTCGTTTTAATTCAACAAGTCACTTTTTGGGCCAACTATAGTTTAAACTATAAACTTACCTTTATTGACCAGCTTGCTGCTTTTAATAGCTGGTAAAAAAATTGAGACCCGGCAGGCGGCAACCCTAAAAACAAACACGTTTTATAACAGTAGTGTAAATTTATCAAATGGCCAGTTTTGACCGTGTCTTAATTTGCGGAGGAATTTGTTTTCGAATGTTTATTGATTTATTTATTTACGGTATAACCATTTAACAATAATTTAAATCTGCTTTCATTTGCTCAAGATATTAAATATAATTCAAAAATAATCAATACAATAGTAAATAACAGTAATAACAAAAAATATACTAATCAGATAATAAATATGACAACAGTGGTGATAGTTTTTTTCTTTTTCCTTTTAGTTGAACATTTTGATTAAAAAAAAATTTATCCTCATTACGGCCAAGCGTCAAGTGCAATCGAGTATTTCAAACTTAATTTTTACTACTGTACTTATACAGGGTGTTGAAAATGTCTGGAACCAACATTATATCCTGGTTAGTGGTTAAAGAAAAACAACTGATATTTTGTATACGGATATACTATGGTTTTACCTATCTTTTGGTGCCTTATGAAATTTTTTACCACTTATAGGGAACGTCACGTAGAGGATGCAGTAAAAAGTTTTAATGGAAGCCTATGGTAAATGATACATCATTTTAAAGGCCATTTTTTTCTGAGTAAGGAGCCACAAGTTTCATCTCAAAAGGACCACCCTAGCAAAAATAGCGACTGTTTGAAATTTAAAAACCCACTTATAGGGAACGTCCTGTGGAGGATGCAGTAAAAAGTTTTAATGGAAGCCTATGGTAAATGATACATCATTTTAAAGGCCATTTTTTTCTGAGTAAGGAGCCACAAGTTTCATCTCAAAAGGACCACCCTAGCAAAAATGGCGACTGTTTGAAATTTAAAATTCAATTATTTTCAAAAACTTCCAACAGTCACCATTTTCGCTAGGGTGGTCCTTTTGAGATGGAACTTGTGGCTCCTTACTCAGAAAAAAATTGCCTTTAAAATGATGTATCATTTACCATAGGCTTCCATTAAAACTTTTTACTGCATCCTCCACAGGACGTTCCCTATAAGTGGTAAAAAATGTCATAAGGCACCAAAAGATAGGTAAAACCATAGTATAACCGTACACAAAATATCAGTTGTATTTCTTTAACCACTCACCAGATATAATGCTGGTTCCAGACATTTTCAACACCCTGTATATCCTTGTCTGACTACAAGTAGGCATACTTTTTTCAACTTCTCTCTGTGCTACCATAGATTATTCTATGGTGCTACTAGCAACAAAAAAGGGGGATTACTATGTAGGTACTGTACTGTATCATTGACTTTATATCTCTACACCACGTGTAGAGATATAAAGTCAATGACTGTATTCAGTTGGCGAAGATTCACCTGCAGGCTAATCATTTTATCTATTAGAGCATTTTCTTCAATTCTTCTGTTTTACTCTCCTGGATTACTGTATCTTGCAACCTCAAGCCCGAGAAGTTGTTAAAATGTAGAATATATTTGGGTGCAATCTGTTTATATATTGATAGGTCATAGCTGTTGAAGAAGAATGATTTCTTGAGTACTACATTTTAACAGTGCAAAGCAATTTTATAGTTCAGTTATCTTAGTGTTTGAAAATAATGTTTCTTAAGTAATTTAGTATTTTTTTGTAAAAGGTTTGTCTTTCTTCAGACGTTTGGTCTGAGGATACCTAGGCCCAAGACAGTCCTGTAACGATTTAAAATATAATTTCTAACATTTCTTCCCGTTAACTTATGATGATTTTTCATCACTACAAACATAACCGCTCGGCGTCACGCGTATGCTTATGCATAGTGTATTTAATCCCAATAATGGCTCCTTTGTGCCGTAATGGCCGGACAAATGGCAGCAATCCCAAACACGTAGTCACAATGGCTCGTCATTTTGTGCTCAATGCGGCACATTTGTGCTTTGTGCTCCAAATGTGCATTACTTATGCATGTGTTTATCGTCTGTACAATGCTTGTCCCCACCCGTCCCACCCTAGCCACCCACCCCGTCACCCTGTTCTGGGTTGTAGGCTTGCAATTTATTAGAGATGGATGGTAAACATGTGATGTACAATGTTAAGTAGGTATAATTCGACGATTCCCTAAATACGTGCCTTATAAGTAGTAAATCGCCGTATTCGTATTCATATGAAAAAATACGTTCGCATAGTTTGTAATGTCCAATAGATAGTTGAGACTTACTGACAAGTCAATTTTAATTTTACCCAGTCCAGGACAACCTGAACCTTTGACCCCAATATCAAACCCTGCTCTATGTCCACAGAAATCAGGGTTTGGTTGGTATCTATCATAGACATAGATAGTTTTATAACATTATTATTTAGGTAAGGTTAAGATATGGTAGGATTATGACATTGGCTAATATTTTGGGTGAAGTTAATGGTTGTATTTGTACTTCGTATCTGAAATATTCATAACATAATCAAGTTTTGGCTATCAGGGATGATTTCATATGAGCCCTATCAACATTGTGAAGGGTTAGGCCTGTTTTGAAAATGGCAGTGGCAAAGTTTAAGACAAAGTTGACAAAGATTACTGCTTTAAAATAGATTTTGTTACGGATTTTGTGAAGGTTGGCGTACTTTTCAGGTCGATTTCGATGCAGTATCTGGAACAAAGTTAATATTTTGTTTTAGAATGATTCGAAGCAGTTTCTCAGGAATATTGACTCCGATAAAGCTGTGTGGTATATTGAACTCGATTGTTGAATCCGTTTGTTGAACTCATAGACTACAACGTCCTGTACACCAAGAAGTTGATTGACAATGTGTTATTTGCAGGTCGGCCAGCGCGATGTGCGAGAACGGCTTCGGCGGAGTAGGTGTAGGGGGCGGAGGCCCGGTAGCCACCCTGGGCTCCCTGCAGGGCCTCTCCCAGCCCAAGAAGCCGTCCGAGGACCACATCAAGCGACCCATGAACGCCTTCATGGTCTGGTCCAGGCTGCAGCGTCGCAAGATCGCCCAGGACAATCCCAAGATGCACAACTCTGAGATCTCCAAACGACTGGGTAAGTCGCATGATCTCAATGTTTGGTGACATTTCAACCCATATTATAATTGGATATTATTTGGTAATGACCAAATACTTACGTTTTTTGTAAGGGCCCAGACTGTAGCCCTGTTGTTTTTAATATTTAAGGAACTTTCTCATACGTGTAATTACATACGTATTCTATACGACGCATAGTATTGATAAAGTGAACGTTAATGGCATCTCCACCTATGCGAGTTTATTATAAAGTACAATTAAAATGTACCAATGAATTTAAAGAGATAACTTTTCAAGCGTGATACATAATTACAAGCGTGGTCTTCCTTCTGCCATGTGATTGATACCTTCATCCTCTGGGGAAGAATCTTGTAAAAAATGTAACTGACAACAGTTATATTTTTGAAACTGATAGTTCGGCGTAGTTAAGACATCTACCTAGTAACATATGAATTTTACTACAAATGACCTAAAGCAAATTGCTTTATCATTTAAAAGTTTTAATAAGGGTAATTTAACTATCAGTACAATACCAAAACCCCAGAGAAAAATTCAACAGTTGTCATTATGCAACTTGATTCTGTTAACCTAGATAATCAAATGTAATAAATAATCGGTACTTACGTATTATACGGAGGCCACTTATTTTACAGCGCGCTGCGGCGGTTGGGTTAAGTTGAGTTATCATAAATATGTGTGTAGAACTTTCCTAGTTTCGTTATGTTTCGAACTATACGAGATGAGTCATAAAAACTTATGATAACCCAACCTAACCTAACCGCCGCAGCGCGCTGTAAAATAAGTGGCCTCCGTGTAATACGTAAGTACCAAATAATCTGTAAGCTTCTTGTGATTTGAAACATGTCAATGATTTTTAACTGTTTAATAATCATCTAATCAAATAATCGTACAACAAATAAGTTGACTATGTCATTATGTCAAAACTATCTATAATTCTATTTCAAATACATGAACGACCATATAGGAAAATTCAAAAATAATGCAAGACATTTGCCGTAAAACATTAAATACATTAAACGTTAACTACCCTTTATCCAGTGAGAAGTGCCCTCCCCCACACCACTCAACGAACAGCTGATCTGATTTAACGAGGTCATTATCGTCACGTGGTGGTTGTTATCATTGATATCACGGACCACTGACAACCCCCCACCCACACCCCCTCTTATGCTGATTAAACGATCGCCTCACCAGAGGGGTGTCCCTTGTTTACAATTAACCCAGTATTAGTTATGGTTAAGGGCTTATGTCAGAGTTGTTTTAATTGTAAATCACTTATGGAGCCAATGAAAACAACCCCCGCAACAAATCTGACAATGCAAATTTGGATTTGAATTTGGTTTGAGAACGATGTCGATTTGGGCTCCGATGTGCTGTATCAATCGCACTAATCATAATATCAAGATAGCCATTGACATCCTTGCCTTCCATAGTCTTCATGGTGATCATTTTTGTTACTATTTTGTTTTAATATACGTTGAAGACAAATTCTTCATTTATTTGATACGACAGCTCTTGCAAAAGTGTGCAGTTTTGTTGTAATTTAGATCTAAAGCGAAAAGCCGTCTATATACTATTTGTATGAATTAGCGTCACAAAAACCAGCCTGATTTTAAGTAATACATGCATAACTCCAGAATTACCATTAAGTAATATTATAGTAATATTTTATATTTATTTTTGCAATTTGTAGAATGATTTGTGTAAGTTTAGTCACAGTGGTGTGTATACCAGGTGAAAAAATCCTATAATAATACTGTATTGTCTGCAGTTATAAGCTACTGTAAGTTTCTGCAGTATGTTTCGATTCTTATTCATGTGTTATATTTTAAAATCCGTGAGTCATTTCGTAAATCAAGAGTTTTGTGGTGTCTAAAGATTTTGTTTGAACGTCGGGGCCCCAAAATCTGAACCTAACTCATCCCACCCATAAAACCGATTCAGGGTAAAGAGCGTGCAAATTTCGACGTGCCATCTGGAGGATAAATGGCGGGTAAAATATTGTAATCGAACGAAGGCGGGAACAGTCAGCTGTGACGGACCACGTGACCACGGCCTACTTTGACTTCGGTAGTTATTGGTCAAAGGCTTGTGAATATCCGAATTTTTATACTGGTTTTAATTTGTGTTGGTATGTTAGTTAAATATTAGTAAGCTATTTAAAAAAAAACTATATGAGCATTTGGTCTTTCGACGTACAGTAGTAAGCTTAACGTCACTACCCAATGTGTGAAACCAAGTGAAAACCCTTTACACCGATTAAACTACTTTACCTCCCAATTGAAAATATCGCCGTTTATAATTTACTGCGATAAACCTGTTTTCCTAAAAAAAAAAAAAAAAACGATTCTATCATAAGATTGTTCTAAAAAATTGGGGGAGAAGAAGATTCTGTTAAAACCGTTGGTTATAAACAAATTCTTAATCAGGAAATGGGATTGACAAGTTACTTATTTCCCAAGAAGACATGTTTTCAGTCTACACCAATGGCATTCTTCTATAAAGGAATCGCAAACTTTTTTTGGGTAAAAGGTCAAAACCTATCAAATTTATTTTGATATTACGGGATCTAATCCGTCTATATCACATTAAGGTTTGACAAACCAACCACTAAGCAATCGACCAACAAATAAATAAATATATATATCATATTGTCATATTTCCCCTAACTAAACTTCAAAATGAGATTCAAAATGAGTAGTATTTGTACTTTCTTGGGACAAAACAACACCAATTGAGCAAAACAAATACTGTAACGCAATTTTAATACATAGAACAACCCATATTATCCGGTGCGTCAAAACTCTCCTATGTCACAATATAACATTTCGTTATACTTATTAATTCGATAATCGAAGTCGAAGCGCCAAGGAAGCGAGTAATCGCATCGTAATCGCGTTATCGATCTTGTTTATTTTCCTTTTAGCGCGGGAGTCTAGTAGGGTAGGGGGAGCGTCGAGCGTATCACAACCAAAGGGTTCTTACCCCCTCCCCCAAGACAGCCTGTCTCTTAATTAATTCCAACTTATCCTGCTCCACTGGGCCCCAACGACCCAAAACAACGCTCATACCACCCGTCATCCCCCTTTGTCTCTTATGTTTTGTGCGACTCATCGGCATTGTCAGTTTGACTTATTTTCCTCTTGTCTCCGAGCTATTTTGTTTTGTCTCCTCTTCTTGCGATCTAATACACTTTATCCGCCAGAATGAGCGATTCACCCTTTGAATTTGCGAAGGCTGGGTGGATGCAATATGGATTGTCTCAGGCACAGGCAAGTAGACAGGGTTGTTAATGTATAAGACTTGGGAAAGAAGAACAAATACATTGTGTAAACTCAGACCACGTGGGTCTTAGACGTCTTGGTCAACCTGCAATAGTATGTGTCGTTGACCCCTTCTAATTCAGTTAAACCCGATGAAGAATAGACGATGCTGAGGACAATGAGTATTTGTATACCTTTGAGTTTGTTGTTAATTAAACTCAATAGCTGCAATAGGAAAAACTGCGCTTGCATATACTAAAGTACTTTGATGATAATTCTTACCACTAAAGACAGGGACTCAAGCAATCATGACCTCAAGTTTTCTAGCTTTATAGAAAGGCAGTTACAGAAAGAGGGAGTGAGTAGTAGGTCAATCTAATTAGTAATACGTTTTACCTTTGCCAGCGCACAGTGGATTAGACTGCAATCATTACACACCTTTTCTAAACATCTATTCTACATGATAAACAATCATTCCAGGTGCCGAGTGGAAGCTGTTGACTGAGAACGAGAAGCGACCGTTCATCGACGAGGCCAAGAGACTGAGGGCGATGCACATGAAGGAACACCCCGACTACAAGTACAGACCTCGCAGAAAGCCGAAGACGTTGAGGAAGGAAGGATACCCGTACACGATGCCGTACCAGTCGGTGCCCATAGACGCTTTGCGAGCTGGTGAGTTATAGCAAGTGATACTAAACTCCGTTCAAACCGCCGTGGCACCTGACGGATTAGGAGGCCCCAAAGGTTTCCATGGGGTCTCCTAATCCGTCAGGTGCCACGGCTGTTTGAACGGAGTATAATTTCTGAGATTCTACAACCTTTAATTTCTGAGATTCTACAACCTTTTGACGTTCTCTTCACTTTGCTTCAAATTCAACAGGGTTTACTTGATAGCAATTAAATGTTGTATTAGTATTTTGTTGCTTCAGTCGATTCTTGTTTGGAATCTCAATCTGAAGATTGTGAGTTGTGTTCGAATAAATAAATTATAACCTATTGTATTTTGTTGCGGTTCTTCTTCTTGAATCCATAAACAAAAATAAATGAGACTTCATGATACAGTACTTCGAATTTGGATATAAATTATAAAACGTATTTTCACTTGTAACACAGTCGTGCATCCAAATCCACAGGTCCAAACTCTCATCTACTTCCCATCAGTCTATTAACTTCTAGTCATAATCCGAAAACCTTGACACACCATGTGAATCACCGCGTAAATCAATGGGTCATAAATAACCCGGGGAATTAACACATTCTGGGTAGCCCGTTCTCGTTACAGATGGTAATACTGCAGGTGGGGGGTGACCACACATCGGGCCCAGGTGTCCACGGTGGGGGGGGGGGCAGGAATGTGCTCGCAGGTGTGAACCTGACACTCGAAATATGAATGTCAAATTATGGGAAGTGGTGTGAAACGCCGCCCGATACCTCCTAATTGTCCTGACGGCGAGTCCTTTATTTTGAAGATGTTCCTCGGGAATTAGCGGCTGTCGGCGACCCACCGCCCACTGGTACTTGTTGCTTTTGTCTCAAGTGTTCTAGGCGCACCTGGTTGACCTCAAGGAGGTTTTCTGGCATCTGTTGGATAGAGAAAATAAAAGAGGTTGTTTTTGTCATAATGTTCTTACAACACCGGACAAGATAACTAGTAATCTTCCTCATCGGGTTTTAGCAGCTTTTTATTCTTATCAAATCAACACCAAGCTCCGAAGGACTTATTTATAATTTGATATAAACAATAGCTTAACCTTTTACTTGCTTAATGATGGAATCTTTTTTCCAAGTGAAATATGGATATCATTTCGATGCAATTACTTTTTGATGAAAATTTGTATCTTACAATGGACGGACTTCAAACCGATGGTCTTGCATGATCATCTTTCAAAGAGAAATTCCAACCAACCATGCTATTATGATTCAAGTGATCAAACATTTTGTTAGTCCAAATAATACATCCATCGTCCACACTGACAGTTTCAGTACTATTTTATTATAGTTTTTATAAACTCTCATTGCCAGTGTGAATGGGTCAGATGCATATTGTGTAAATGTCCCCAAATTTAAACTTAGCAAAACACTAAATTCCAGCTTTTGAATTCAGCATCCGCTGTTCTCACAGCTTGCAGCTGAATGAAAGCCATAAATGTCAGATTAACTCCGTAAACATCAAGCAAAGCGATGGAGGCAAACAATCTACTGAAGATGATTCAAAGAGAAAAAGTCGTGTTTGGAGCCTAGAGAAAGACCGGTAATAAAAGAGTAATCAAAAGTGACGGGCAGTAAGGTGATTCAGGATTAGGAGAGGCTACTGGCGCGAAAATCGCCTCGAGATGGTTATGGGGTTTTACACGGCGGGAACACGATCCGGGGGGGGGGCTCGAGGCACCTGAAACTCCAGGGGGGCTACGAGATACCTCTGAGATACCATCTGCGAACAGACGTTAGGCTCAAACAGTAGCTGCGAGTTTTTGTCCAGGTTAAGGTACAAAGGATGAAACTCATGTTGGTTATATCTTTTTTTTTATTTACAATAAACTGTGACATCTTTTGTGTCACATAAATTATCAAATAATCGATAAAGAGTAGAATTAAGACTGCAGAACATTCTGTGCGTTGCTCATTCGACTATACATACTATTTGAATTAAAATCGGCTATAGCTAAAGTTGGGTTATGTCGTTAGTTGGTTGTTGGATTTAGTATTCAGTATATAGTGGGGCTTTTGGACACAACAATCTAAGTTATTAACAAGAGAAATCGTGACATATTCCAGTACACGTAATAAATTCATTCTCTGGCACAAATTTGACAATCACGATTATATTTCTAGAAAATCATTTCAGTTCTATCTTAAATCCCAAACATTTTAGCACAACAATTTAACATGTTCTAACAACTTAAAAACACTGGACCGATCATGGTGGAGAGGCTTGGAGAGGCTATCCGGCTCGAAGGACCAAGTCCGGTGCGTGTGCAGGACATGCATGTCTCCCGCGTGTATATTACAAGCGACATAATCCCGGGACAGGGGGCAGCGACAGCACCGATATATGGCGGATTATGGCCCGCTTGCCTAATTCCAGCCACCTTTTTTTGGAAGTGTTGAATAGGATTGCCGTCGGTCCCGCACGGCGTAGGACGGGGTTTAATTTTAATAAATATCGAGCCCGACTACTAGCGGTCGTGACTCGAATGGGAATCGTGGATTTGAACTGCGACCAGTGGCCGCGGAACGCTGGAATGTCGGAATGATTAATTAATTGTATGTGACGTCACAGTATCATCACTATAAATAATTGAGCCACACTGATTTTGCTCTGCGTGTTATTAAGGAGACTACAGTCATTATAATTTAGGCGAACATTACCTAATCGGAGTTGTACGATTTTATTATTTTTATATTTTATTTTTGTAGCATACAAGTACAAGGAAAGGCTACTGGAAATATTTATTCCTTTCAGTTCGAGATAAAATTCACACAATATTTTTCGATTCCTAACTAACTTGTACATTCAGATATTAACCTCCTTGTACCTAGAAGCATAGATTAAAAGAAGTACTCCTTTTATCTATGCTAGAAGTTACAGAAACTATTCAGTAATAATGATTCCCGCCCACTCCCTATGTAATACAACCTTCGTATCTTACATAATCGTATTATATTCCCTATCTTGGTGAGCTGGGTGTAGCTCACCGACAATATTGTGCTATTGTGCTGTTCTGCTAACTATACAAATGTTGAGCAAGTTGAGTATCGTTATAAGTTGCCGCTCCAGTGATTTGGAGTTGTTACAATAATAAATGCGCGGAGGCCATTCCGCCTAACTTTTCAACACATAATTTGTTTTTACGTACGCTACACATTCATATTATATTGCTAACAATCTCTTGCATTTCGTTTTGAATTGTGATTCGTGTTATTCCTAGAAAACCTGTACATATTATAGCTATTGGTATGTATCAGAGTCAAAGTGTCTGAAAACTTGAAGTTGGTAAATTGTTTAGCATAGCATGTGACAACTTTTTTTTAATTCAAACCGTAGTAGCAGTACTAATGAAGACAAAATTTTAAAGTTGCGTCGTTGTTACAATTTACTGTACAGTGAAGTATGTTTTCGTAATTACACTGCCATAATATGTTAATTATATTGCCTATTTGCAGTGGATTCTGTTGACGTAACACTGTGCTTGTTAACATAAACTCAGGTTAGAAAAATACATTTGGTCTGGGTCTAAAACTGCATATATTTTTATTTGATAGAATCAGAGAATTCGTTATTGCTTGGGAAGCGTGTCGAGACACGTTTTCCATGAGCGCACTTCCGTTATCGCTGAGCGATAAGAACTTCCGCAAAATTGCAGAGGTAAAATAATTCATTGGAAATACTCCGGAGCGTTTTTACTGCCATTCTAGTTAAGGATGCTGTTAGTCTATTGCATTACTTGTGTTTTTGTGGTAGATTATTGTACTGCACTTCTGACCCTACTGTTATTTTAAAAGTCCAAACTCTACAATACCCGTTACATTACACAACTAACTCAAGTAAATGGAAACGAAATAGTAGTTGAGAATAAACAGAAAAAGATAACTTTACTGTTTTTTAACTACTGACATCAAACATTCGCTATACATAATTGGTATTGAAGTCCTTTATCAGTTTAAGGGTGCTGTTAGTTAGTCTATTACATTACTTGTGTTTGTGTGGTAGATTATTGTACTGCACCTCTATGACTACCCTACTGTTATTTTAGATTTAAAATCCTAACTCTACAATACCCGTTACATTACACAATAAACTAAAAACCTTTGCTGATTTCTTTCACCTGTAGCAAAAGTGGTAGTCATGATAATACTGCGAGAGACCTTTGTGGTGTTAGGAGGGGTGGGGGCGAACCGATTATAAGGAAGTGCGGCTTCCGAACGGGGATTTAATTCTGAACGGAGCCCCAAAAAGTGTTGCCCCTCAACAATATGTGACGTCCCCCTTCACCTGGGGGACCGCCCGCTGGATTGATTTTTTACTTCAAATTGTTATTTGCTTCACCGGTACCCTTTTAGGGAAGTTCAATTAAGAAATAAAGTAATGTTTGTGAATTAATTTAGAATGTCGAACATGATACAAATGCTATGCTGAAGTACCCAAATAAATGTGAAGTTCTTGGTAGTGTCATAAATATTGCATATTAGTTCAAGTTTTTCACAGGTTTAAGTAGATTGTGCTTTACCGTATTCTAACTTAACATCCAAAAAAGTAATACAATTATCAAACCATAAATTTTAAAATCTATAATCAAGACGCAATTTAAACTAGTCTCTAGTTTTGGAACATTTACAATAATTGTGTATGTCAATGAAAAGTCTGGGTATCAAATCGTTAAGATAATTCGTAACGACAAAAACAACGACTTAAACGCGGCAATTTTTGCTTTAAAAAAGAAAAAAGGTTTTAAAGAAACATGCTTGCCTATTAATATATAGAAAGATTTGAATTTAGAGCACTACTAAGAATTGATTACTGTATGCAAATATGTTGTAAGGGAAAGTGGTTTTACCTCGTACAATTTCCAGCGTTTGCCACATGGATGGGTTAGTACGCAACATCCCAACTATTCCAATATTCCTTTGTATATTGTGCACACTCGGCGTTCGGGACCTTTTACCACATACGA